GAGCAATTGTACTGTGCATCACTTGCTTTGTGTACTATTATTATTATTATCTTATTATTATTATCATTTTATTTCAATTCTTAAACTGTTTTTATCTCAACCCACGAGTTTTTCTCACTTGTGCTTTTCCAATTCTCTCCCCCATCCCACTGGGTGGGGGGGAGTGAGCGAGCGGCTGCGTGGTGCTTAGTTGCCGACTGAGGTTAAACCACGACAATTAGTGAACAGAAGTCATGATGTAAATCCATGAGATGCTGACAACTAGAAAATAGCCTGCAAATGTCTTGAACCTACTTTTGAACTTGATTGAACAAAGCGACAGAAATTTGAGCAAGGTGTTTGCCAGGGAGGGGAGAGGGGAAAGTATTGCAAGGACTAAAGAACTCAGAAGGAGCACACCATGTTTGTTGCCTCCCAGCTTCAGCAGAAGTGAACTCATCACACATACCCTCTGCCGCAATGTCCTCTGGCAATGACTGCTGTTCCTGGTGGAAAGCTCCCACTGACTTCAATGGGAACCACACGAAGTTAGGGAGGAAAATCCTGTCTTGACTGAAACCAACAGAAATTTTGATAAACCCTTCTATGAAGGATAAGGCTGCACTAGGGAATCATACTTCAAACAGCCTGAGGTTTTCCCTCAGTGCTAAATTTTATTAATATATTAAAAGGAATATATACCCACATACCCAACTGGCTCCAATAATTTTCCTGGAAATATGCTAATTCACACCAGCCAAAACTTTGTTCCTTTTACATGGTGATGTTACCCATCTTGAAAAGAACTAATTCTACAGATAAAGCGTATTTCTTCTTACATAAATTAATGGCTATCTTTAATGGTGTAATATTAATTAACTGCATACTAAAGCAGGTTGTAGAAGTAGAAACACAACTTCCATAATTTGGTAGTGACAACAATTGGGAGGGAGGCAAGGGGAGAAGAGAAATAAAAAGAGCAAGAGTGACCTGAAACGAAGGAATAAGTATTTCCTATTCAAAATATCTCAAAGACCTAACAGGGAAATAAAAATTTGCATGACAACTCACCTTTAAAAGTGTATGCATGTTTAAAATAAAAAAAAATCCCAAACCAAAAAAACCCTACTACATAAGGGCTGACATATATTCTAAGCAGTCAGATCAGCCTCTTGACATTTAATATGCTCATTTGTAACAGACTAGCTTTCAAAGCAAAAGAAGGGACATCTGTAAAAGCCACACAATGAAGGTCAGTGAAAGCCATTTTAAGCTTTTTCCTAAAATCTGTTGCTTTGGTGGTGGTAGTGGGGTAATCTGTCCTTCCCAAACCATTTGCCTTCAGGAGAGCTAACAGGATAAGTGAGCCCAAAGATAAAGGGACAGAATAGGAGAGCCAGTCAGACAAAAATGTAAGTGTCAAGGAGGATGGTATCATGTATTTACAAAGATTTGAATTTGGATGGACACAGGAGGACAAGTTCTCCTCACTTTTCAACTGTTTACTACTTTTGCTGGCTGTCAGAAGGGATTCTTAGTTCAGGTTTCATGGAGAGAGGATTGCTGCAGACGTTTCCTCCACACCGCCTTGAAGATTCATCTCTGGATGAAAAGTGTTTCCAAGTGCCAGCCTGAATAAACCTCAGCTTCATTTATTCAGAGTACTGACGACATCCAGTGGCCACCAAGTTAATCTCAGCCTATGACAGCAGATAACCTCTTATATCAGAATAGATAATCTCTTTCCATAAAGTTATATATTAACCCTGCTCTTCCACATCCTAGTCTAAAAGTAGGAGTGCATTACAAGGAACACTATAATCATTGAGCAAGAGTCTTCCTATTCAGGTCCTCATACAAACTCTAACCAAGCCTTTTTCAGTTCTATCTCACATTGAAAAATTATAAATGAAAAATGCAAAGTCTCTTAAGCACTTCCATGGTACTCAAAGAAACTGGAAACCAGCAAAAATAAATGTACATCAAGAAAGGGGTGGGGGGGGGGAAAACCTGCATACGCACACACACAAGCTGCTCAAGGTGTTAAAACTGCTTGCCACATCTACCAAACTCAGTCACACGTACACACTTCTAAAACACATGGAAGAAACCACTTTTCAAAGTGCTTCAAAACAAAAAAACCAATGTTTCTGTTTTCCACTTTTGTAAGGAACTCAGTCAAAATATGAAAATATAACACTTTAAGCATGCTTGTGTTCTTTCACAGAAAACATCTGTTAAATACTTACTTGCCCGAATATTTCTGGCAGCCCCAAAACTTGACCAGTGAAAACACCAATACAGATGAAAATTGCTGTGACCTGACCCAATGAACCACGGATTTCCTTTGGAGATATTTCACTCAAATACATGGGAAGGGCACTCAGAGAAATGCCTATGAAGGGAGGAAAAAAACATATATTAAGTCAAATCGCCTTTTCATTATGCCAGGTACGAAATAAACATCTACTGAAAGGAGTCTGAGTGCTAATCTGCTCACAAGAGTGGCATAAAAACATGCAAAGAACAGAATTATATCTGTCCACAGATAATATGAATTATCTTCTCTGCATGTCTAATTACTCTTGCACCATTTAATAACTATGGCATTGATTATCTGTTACAAATCTACAGTGATGTGCGTAGGCTGCTATTTGATGAGAAGCACCAAAGGTTACTCAGAGATGAGAATCACCAGGAGAACAGATTTTATGTTTTAAATTTGTTCATTCCAAAGCAAGCAAAATCACGTTAGCACTGGTGCAGGTAAGGAAAAAAACCCCAGTGAGTCAGGCAGAGAGAGCAGATCCTGTCAGATGAAATATTTTTACTGTAAAGGGTATTAGCAGATGTTCCTCTCAATACAGGCCTACAGCTGCAATGAACTCTTAATAGCAGGCATAAAATAAGGGTGAGAATGCTGCTCAGAGCCAGGAGAAAACAGATGCATGACCCTGGTTAGTATAACGACAATATTTACAAAGCTCCAAAAGTTCTGCCATTTGGTGGTACTCTGAGACAAAAATCAGCAGTCAGCACCAAAATTACCCATGAACTTCACATTGCAAGTGACGGACACATCCACTTTCAAACAACCGTAGTTTGTGCTTACTAACAACATAGACAAAGCTTGCCAGGAAGGGGGCTTAGCGATGCAGAGGTCAAAGCATGTTCCATTGTTTAGAGTCATTACACTAAGAGGATAAAACCGTCTTAATTCATCAAGTCTGTCTCCACATTAGGTAAATATTTCTCACCATCTACCGATCTGTGAAGTCGCTGAGAACCTCACTGCTAGCTGCAAGACTATTCTGGTGCAGCAGTGCCTCCATGATTTACTTTTAAACCGGGAAGACCATGTTGCTAGGAGCAAATCCTGATGTACCAAACCTTCCACTTAATCCTACTGGTATTAGCATGGGATCCAACAACTTCTAAACACAAAGCAGCAAGCAGCTTTAATAAATAGACCACACCCTCCTAGCCAAAGGATTTTCATGGTATGAAGACAGATACATTCTACCAGGGCTGGAGGAGGAAGGGGGAGAAACAACCAGGGTGGACAGCAGTGGCTGGCATCCATTCCAGTGTCTTCTCCAAACATCAGATCCTCCGACCTTCATTCTGCTGGTTTGCCCCAGTGAAATCAGTGTGGCTAGTCCCTGAAATGCCTCTTTAATGTAAAGAAAGATCTAACGGCAGGAGAGGAGAAAGATTACGCATGGCGCCGGCGTTTTGGATATGTATGGCATGATAAAAACTTACCTGCATCAACACCCATTATAATGCGGCCCAGTATGAGCATTTCAAATGACCCCGCCAAGAAGGAGAAGGACATCAGCAACGCAGCTGTCACTGCAAACACGTTATTGAGGAGCAACGTACATTTCCTAAAACAAAAAGATATTTTATTTAGATACCTGCATCACGACAGTTAAATCTAGTCATATTCAAAGCACACTAGGCTTTTATTCTTAAATATCCATAAATAAAAAAGTGCCTAACAAACACTGCCTCTTACATGTTGCGTAGAGTTCCGAAATACAACACTATACCCAAATGGATACAGTTCCAAACCTATGCCACAGCTTTAAAACCTATCATAGTTAACTAAAGAGCGGTACTTCAAAGGCATGGCAATTAGCCATCCTACACATCCTAAGAACCCAAGTGCCATGCCCAAGACTCTGTATATGAATATAAACAAGCGTACTCTGGGTGAATGTATGTATGTAGGAACCAGAGAATATACTTCAGTAGCAACAAGCTGATACAACTACAGGCATTTTTATGCTACATATAGTTTTTGCCATTTTGAGAACTTCCCAGCACTGACATATTTATGTCATTATAATTCATCCTTAAACCCATGATATTAAAAACATACATTGAGGAAAATTACTCACTACTTGTAGAGTTAGAAAAAACACTTGGGCTCACAGGAATGATAAAAATCAACCTCTTCCCAAAAATTGTTTAAATTAACCAAAATATTGATTTACACATTTTTTCCCCCAATTTTGAAATTATTTCGTTCTATAGCAGTCAAATAAAATGTGGAAAAAAATATTTCTTTCAAAGAAAAGAAATGTTCTTTATGGAAAATTATTACTTTGTTGGAAAAAAAAGAAAATAATGAAAATATATTTTAAAAATTTCAAAACGTCTCAATTTCTCATTCACACTACACCAACAGCTGTATTTCTTCCAGTTTTCATCTTACAGAACTTTCTGCTCAAGTTTGAGGGACTCATTAATTCAACAGTGACTCATAAGTCTCATAACTTCTGCAGAAGGAAATACTTTACAAAAGAAATGATATGTAGGATTTCATGGGCCTTTGACAGTCAGATTCAAACACTGACATCCAAGGTCTCATTTCCTGGACACTTGGAAGAAGAATGGTTAAAGATATAAGATCAATAGCTCTGCTGCAATGATTCTCTATTGACAGATGAAGTAGAACACCCACCCAGAACTCAGAGAAATCACTGCTACCTTATACACATCTCTCCACAAATACGGATTTAAATGGCTTTTTGCTAAATTACAGCCTGCAGCCAAATGGCCAGAGAAGCCATTATCATCAGGTTCAGCCTTGTGAGCGACTGAAAAGTTTCTTACGATTCCCAGGCAGAGTCACAGCCAGGACTGGGATATCTGCTGGAGATGTGGTGGCCTCTCTACAGCACATCACAACAAGACAGCTGCTTTGCATTGCTTATGATCTAACACAAGACAAAACACCATAATTTTCACAATTACGTGGCAAGAGAATGATCGTACCCTATGTTTTCCATCTGTGAGTCACCTCAGTTATACATGGTAAAGCAACGGAGCTTTGTCTTTACCAGTCACATAATTAAGCACAGTTTTGTTTTGGCTCTAGAGGTACAAGTCAATACTGAAGCCTCCAATCCCACTCACAACAACATATGAAGGAAACAACTGATTTGAAAACAAATTTACCTGGAGATAAACAACATTGATGATGTAAATTATGAGGATTCTTTTAACTTTGACAGTAAATAGCACAGGCTGAAAATATACCAATTTTATTAAAAAACTAAAGTGGTATTAAATTTGCACGTATTCTCAATGGATTTTCAGTCTTTATATATTGTAATTTCCAAGCAAAAGAAGAGCAATGACCAGAAAGGCTGCCTACCCTTTTCTCTTCCAAAGCAGGTAACAAACTGACCCAGCGGTCCTCATTCTTCTCGAGTTCAACACATAGGTACCAACTGGAAATCTCCCACTCGTTGAACCAGTCATCCAACTTGTTACAACAGATCAATACATTTTTGATAGGAAACATTTTTAATACTTGTATTTTTAATTACTGCTCCTGCTTTCTAGTGTTTTTTGAACATTGTTTGAATGAATAACATTGTTTGAAGATCAAACAATGAGAAACAGTTCATTTAAAGTACATGTTTATACAACATAGCTGTCAAGCATGATGACTTTACCATTTGAAACAGATTTTTCAAATGGATGTAATTTGAGAGGGCTAAAGTGATATAAATAATGCCAGAAATGGAAACAAAATGTTCTCAAGTCAAACAAGTGCTATACATTCATCTGAAGTTATTACTTTCTTCTTCTTTAATTTAAATAAAACCTACAAAATATTTATCTTCTTAGAAAAAGTTGGCTAGCGACCCCTTATTCTATGCAGCAAAGAACAGAAAAGTGCAGCCTAACTAACAAAGATAAAAACAAAGAATTTTGTCTTTGCCAGACTGAAAAAAAATTAAAACAAGAAAGTAATATGCTGTTTAGAGTGTTACTATATAAAGCATGTAAAGTTTTGGTAATGAAAACACTGTGCTGGGTGTCTGTTGCAAGGTTTTGGAACTGAAGGGGCTGCAGGGGTGGCTTCTGTGAGGAGACGGAACGAGGGAATAACAAGATCAGTGGAGGAGAAGGTGGTGCAGGACTGAGCAGGTACATCCCCAGAAGGACTGTGGACCACGGAGGACCGACACTGGAGCATAGAGAAGAGTGAGAAGGAAGGAGCAGCAGAGGGAAGTTGCTATGCACTGACCCCGACCCCCTGCACCACATGTTCCCTCACTGAAGGGACTGAGTGTGACCTGCCGTGGTACCAAGGGCGGGAGAGAAGCCTGGAGTGATGTTCAGCCTGGGAAAGTGGGAGGAAATGTGTTTTAACATTTGTCTTGTTTCCCAATACCTGATCAGTAATTAAGTATTTATGCTAATTGGCAATAAATTAAGTTAAATTCCCCAAGTTGAGCCTGTTTTGCCCATGACAGTAACTGGTAAGTGTTTTCCCATTCTTTAGTTTGATCCGTAAGACTTCTTGCTCCTGTTCCTCCTATTTCTCCCCAGTGCCCCCCTCCCACTTGGGGGGTGGGGAGTGACGAGCAGCCAGGTGGGTGCTTGGCTGCCAGCTGGGGCCAAGCCACCACAAACATAAACAGTGGAAACAACTTCTCATCACAGCTCCTAAGAAAAAAATACAGCAAAACCCTCCAAACTCTCCATGCTGTCTGAGTTTACTTCCAGTCAGGTCGTATTATATTCAAAGTTGTTATAATCATAAAAACCCCTATGCTTTCCTGGTCACGTAGGCCAAAACCGTATTACCTTAGCAACAAGGCATAGGAAAAAAAAAAAGACCCAAACCACTGCTTGTATAGCTCTAATTAAAGTGATATAAAGATACTACACTTAATAAAGCACTGCAGCAGACACTTTCCCTTGGGAAAGTCCAACCAATCTTGTCAGATAACTGCACGCACCACACTTACAAAGTGTAAGCGTGGAAACTTCAACACTAAGCCACCATAAGAAAAGACAAACACTGATGTGTTGGTCAGCCTAGTCATTTCTCTCACATCCCAAATCACAAGCTGACAACGTACCAATTGTCCAAATGGTACATGAAACCTATTGAAGTATAAATATCATAGCACAGTTCTCACATAGCACATTTCATTTTTCAGTCTTGCTGAAGGTTATAGAGCACATCAATATCCCTATTTCTGTAACTGGGTAAACAGAGGAATAGATAGCGAAGTGGACTCAACCTAAAGCTAACATGCAAAACAGTGCCAGACCTGGGAAAGGGAACCTGGACTCAAGTTCCAGTCCAGAGCCCCACATGGTTCTGCTGCAGCTACTGCACTAAAAATACTACGCTAGCATTCATTTAGAGATGAAGATTTTGTTCCTTCCATTCAAATAATTCAGAATTTTCTCCAGCCAAAAAAAATAAAGCATTTATGCATTCCAAAAGGAAGATGCTTTCAAAACCTTCTGACTGAGCACAGAGCGTTTGTCACAAGCAGCTACGTCCTAAGCCAGGCAGTAAATTTTGCAGCTTAGTGCCAAAACTGGTCCTCTCTAAGGCTGACTATCCGTACTGCTGCAGGAATGTAACTTCCAATCCTGCACTCAACCTGAAGTAGTCCCAAGAGAAAAGACATTTGCTCAGTAGAAATCCATTTCTATAAGCATTCCAGCTGAGACAGACAGTTCACCCATCAGCTAGACACAACTAGAGCTAAGCTTTAAGGATTTTTTTATTGCCTTTTTTAGGTATTTTGGATATTGAAAACACTTGAGAACCTCTTCCTCAGAATTGCCCTTGTCTTTTTGCAAAATCACATACGATTAATCTCTTGTGATTTCAGGGTTGTCATTTGCTCTCATGATACTGGATAGTTCCAGAGGCCAGAACAGAATCCTAGCAACTACCTGCCCTCCACAGCTGCAGTAACTTTAATTAGGGATTTGAATTAATAATCCTTTTGTCTAAAACTCACAACTAGGAAAATGATAGAATTAAAAGTTTTGTCAAAAATGTATTGTTGTCTCAAAATTCAGTAATAAGAAAGACTCTAGAAGCTCCTCTTGGGAGCAAATATGATACCTTATACAAAAAGTATAGTAAGGGAACTAGGTGTTTAAATAACAAGCTGTGTGTTCTTTAAACTAGGTGTTTAAATAAAAGCCAGTAACAGACTGAATACTAGAACACCATTTCAACTACAGTAGATGACTGTGGTAGCATTCTAAGATAATAACGATAGTGGTAGCATTACTAAAATAATCCAGAAAAATTCCCTTAATCGCTTCATACTCAAAACAGTTCAGTGTGCTAGAGGGAAAGCCTTGTCCCTCTCCTGCAAATGCCTCGCTTGCAGTGGCCTAAGCAATCCACTGAGCATGTCACTCTGGGTGTTCAGGATACGCAACAGCAGCTGCTCTTTGGTAGAAGAGAATTTAAATTATGAAGTGTCAAAGCCACATCTGAACATGGGACTTACGCTTTTGTGGATTTTTTCTCTTTGAAAAAATTACGTCTCTCGAAGTAAGTAGGACCTAGGAATCGGGTAATTTGGAAATTATGTTATTAACCTTACAGCAATATGATTCAAGAGTGCTCTTTTTAAAGTCATACATTATTTCTGACTCATGCTTCTGATCCCCCTTAGTTCATTATTCTGTGTCAGTGCAAATGGAGCTCCGCTTCATCATACGTACAACCCTCCAACCTACACTTGAACAATTTAACAGCGAAGTATTTTATTGTTCTGTCAACATTTCATAATCTGCTCCTCAATTACCGTACCAATAAGTCAGTCTGGTTTCCTCAACCAGACGAACACACTGCAGTGTGAACAGCAAACTCAAGAACCACACTTTGATGAGCAGCCCTTATCCACTGTCCCTGAGAGACACAATCCCTTCCCATCTCTAATCAAGTACTCGTACACCGTATCTATAAGAGAGCTATTTTCACGATTTAACAGGGATAAACATAATGAACAGGGGCAGAGTCTGCAAGCTTTGAAGCTCTGCCCTGGCAACATGATCCGCTCCCATCAAAGTGGTATTCATATTACTGAGATCAGCCACCACTTTAACAAACCTGCACACAAAGTTGTTCTACCCTTCACCAAAAATTCAAGCCTTCTATGAACCCATTTTTTACTTCACTTTTTAATAAAGTAAAGAAGACTCAGCAACAATTCTGGGAATTAATCAGTGAGTCAGGCATAGTTTCATATATTTAAGAAGTGTGTAAAAGCCAAATTGATGATTTGGCAGAAGAAACTGCAAACCTTAAAAAAAAAAGTGACTATGAAAAATATTTAAGAATTGAAAATCAAATGGTGAAGTGAAGGGACAGAATAAATTAATGAAGAACGGATAATAGTTTTACTGTAAGCATGAAATGGAAGAACCTGAAAACATGATCTTTGAGGTGAAAAATGGGATGTGGAAGAGTTGGGAGAATGACAAACAGGCCTAGGAGGGTACAACCTAAAGTGATGGAAATAGTAAAAATGTAGAACAGAAAAGTAAGAACAGTGGAGGTGGATGCTTCTATTTAAGCCTCCATGATGACCTTCTCCAGTGATTTACCTGAGCAAAAATTATCAAATGATATAGAATTTACAATTAAGGAAAATCCAAATGAGCAGTTAAGATGAATGCTACAATGGCTTTTTTTTTCATGCCCTTCTAAATATAGGTAAATTACAAATTACTTTTAAAATTCTCTTTGGAAGACTGTATGAAACAAAAACTTGACAGAAATATCTAGTTAGTACCTGCAGCAAAAATGCAAACACACACCAGCACAAACATTCCTAAAACACTCATATTCCCTATGGTCAAGTCTTGGTCAAATACTGCATTGCATAGAGCAGGGAAGGCATCCCCACGCTTGAGGAAGACTAAACACAAACTTCATCCTAGTTTAGTTCTTCAAACTGTGTTTTAAGTTGACACAAGGAAGGAAAAAAAAAAAAGAACAAATTTTTATTACCGTATGACAACAAATGTTGTTGAGATGCAAACAAGACATATCAATAGCTTTACCTGTGGACAGTAAGATACTCAGCAGACTCTTGAAACAAGAATTTGCCAATCCTTTGTGAAATCTTTCCTATTTTATGGTGTTTTCCTTTTGCACTCTTGACAATTCAACCTCCTTGACATCTAAACCCACTGCCTATTCAGAGCAAATGGCTTCTGCAACTCAAACGATGCACAGTAAGGCCAGAGAGAAAGGTAGTAATTTTACCCTTGGAATTTGGAACTCTTAGAAATGAGCTTTCATTATTTGAATATGTTTAAATTTGCATTCTGGTGAAGAGGGTTTTTAAAAAAAAAAAAAAAAAAGTAAAGCCTTCTAGAGAGACCAAGTGAAAAACTGCTTTAGAAACTGGAAGTTTTCCCATACACTTACCGCCCGAAGAACTTCACAATCGGGGTAACAATAATGGCACCCACAAGGCCACCAATGGCAAAAATAGAAACAGTTATAGACCAGAGGAGAGTCAGCGTGCTTTCATCCACTGAGAAGCCATATCTTCTTTCCCAAGTTTCATTGTAAAACTTCTTGATATACTGAAAGAAAACACATTATAATAATACTACATGTAAAAATCACACTTTAAGAACACAACTGACAGAAACAGAATAAAAAAACCAGTAGCCTGCTTGCAGGAATCACCCTTGCTCTTGTATCTCCCTCCTCCAAAAAATGGGGCCTCATTTCTAGATGCAACTGCAATACAGGCTAACTGAACCAGTCAAAGCATACATACATTTAACTACATGCCAGTCATAAACAAGGTGGGGAAAAAAAACACAGGTAGACATGAATGTAGAAGAGGCTGATAAAAGAGAAACTCCTATAAAGCAAGGATGTTGGAATAAGTAGTAATTCTTTTGGTAAAAGCCTACACTGTGCTCACCATGAAACATTTATCATCTCTATTTTGTATTTCAGTCCTAAAATGCAGATCTCAGATTTGCTCAAAATTAACGTGCCTTTCACTAGACTATTTTTTCCAATGGGACAGTATTGTAAAAGTAAGTGACTCTATAGCAATTGTTTAGTGTAACACTAGAAAAAAAAAATAGAGTGAATTGAAAACAATAGGCATTCATGGATTGAGGGAAGAAGGGAGGCTGTGTCCACTTTTACACTGTATTTATGACACTGCCACATCTGGCAGCCATACAAAATCAAGGACCTACTAAGCCAAGCAATGAAAGATAACATTTTTGTCCCAAAGAATTTACAGCCAAGACATAACTTTGAGAGGAGGGAGGCAAGAGCTGACATCTGTTGGTTTGATACTGATGGGGGAAAAAAAGCCCACAATATCGGTCAAAAAGAGCTAGTTGTCTTACACCATTAAAATTAACAATCCCAAATCACTTTTATAAGTATGTTATAGTTTCTCCCCTTCAAATTTATATAAGCTGCTTTTCGAACGAAGTTCAGGCTGCTGAATAAGGTAAGCAATTTCTTTTCAGTAATGAAAGATGTATCAAACACGAAATCAGACACCTAAGATCCTGATACGAATCTATCTGCCAGACAAGCTGGTTCTCTTAAGAAATGAAAATCTGAGACCTATCTTCTAACTCTTCAGCTATCCTGAAACCTAGTTTTCTCCCATGGCTGCTTAATTTCTTAAGAGCCTTCCATAAGGGCCCTTCCAGGGTTATCTTTTGAAAGCCCAAGTGCCTCCTGAATCTCTGGTGAACTCAGACAGATGCCTGAGTCACGGTTCTCCTTTGCAAAAGCCATGCCAGCTCTTCCCCAAATTCTCACTTTTCTACTACAGTTTCTGCTAGTTTGTCAGGTACAAAAAACTAGCAAATTCTTAGCATGTATGTTCCAAGTTTTCCCCCTAAAAACTACTTTTTTCTTAAAGTCACATTAACCCTCTCGGTCTCTCAGTTACTGAGGCTATTTAAAAAGAAGCTGAACTGTAATACAAAGCCTATATTTTGAATTATTTTTTCAGTCTTGAACAAACGCTAAGGTATTTTGGCAACCTGACACAAAATTATCACTAATTTTATTCCATATCTCTACTGACATTTCAGCTTCTCCAATACATCCCCGATAAAGAAGGTTCCAGTGTGGGACTTTCCCAGACTTTTCCAATCCAAAACATTAATTCAGGTTTCTTGTTATGTCCTCGTATTTTCTGAACACCCTTTTTCAGCTTCATCTATCAGCCTTATATCCCCAAGCCCTCCATCTGGACATTTTTTGTGCCTGCTGAAAGCACCCAAACTCCAGGACCAGCTCACTCTTTAAGCCTTCAATGTGCCAGAGTTTATATTCTTTTTCTGCTTTCCTCACATGAGCACAACTGCAGGTTTTTGAAGAATGTCTTCTAACAACTTCCCTTCCCTGATGTTTACTTACAAAGTTTCTTCATCTTTCGAAAAGATAAAGGATGTCATAGCTCCAGTATGACATTTTTATGCAGTCTCTGTATCGCTTGCAGAGACATCGCCTATTTACTTTCTTTTTAGTCAAGCTTCCTCAGTTTTATGATGTTCCTGTTTCGAAATCAAGGAAAGCTCCGATGCCACTGTGGTGTCTGATGTTCTGGCAAGGATACAGTACCAGGCAGTCACTACTGCAGAAGGGCATGGCACACTTGTGCAACACTCTTACCTGTTCTGTGTCACCACTCTCTGACAAGCTCTACCGTGTCCCAAAGTTTAATCTTGGCACTTTTCCCCAGTTTCTTCTCAGATTTCCTCCAGCATGTCATAGGTAGTAAATTATCCTGGGGCAGGACTCTGCAGTACAAGCCTAACACCACATTTTCCCTGCTCAAACTAGGGATTTCAAACTTCAGGTATTCCAGCCTTGGACACATAGACTATTCGATTTGAGGACTTTATTCAGTTTGAAACACTACCTCTCCACCTGCAAAGTACCTAAGAATGGTGGAGGTAAACGTAGCACTTACTGTCTTCCTTCTATCAAGTTTCTTGTAGGCCTCTTGTGCCCTGAGTTAAAAGGAAGACAGGGATATTTCTCCCATCCTATCTTATATGTTTCTATACAAATAGACAAAAAAAAAAAAACCAACTCAAAAAAAGAAAAAAAGAAGTCAATTTGCTGCTTGGCCCATTTAGAAGAATCTCACAGTAAATTTTCAAATGAATCTGCCATTAAATCAAGTAATACATCTTCCCTTTTTAACACCAGTACTCAGATTATATTTAGATTCAGATATCTACTTATTTATTTGAAGTTCATTGCTCATAGTAATGAATACTAAGAGAAAACATTTTTAGAACACTATTAGCATTTCTTGCTAATGATAATGGCTAAAAATAGTATGCAAATTATTCTCCCCTTGTGTTATGACTAATTTTCTCAGCATAGCTTTGTTATTTACATGGAGACATCAAATAACTGCAAATATTCAAGACAAGAAAGTACAAACTACAACACTCAATAGTAACAGATAAATGTGCTGGCATGTACATGACCTGTGTCTGGATTCCCACCGCCAATGAGTGGGAAGCTAATAACACCTACAGGTTTTGAGGAGTTGCACATGAAAATGAAAACCCAAAGAACAAAACAAATCTGAGCCAACAAATCCACTGGATTTGAATCCATTGAATTCTGTGGAAAGGCTCCTTTGGGATTTTAATCAGTTGTCTGAACAACACTAATGGCATAAACATGTATACAAAAATTTTAGCCCCTAACCAAGCCTACAAGGAGTGGTAGCTGACTGCTATCAGCATCTTGTCTTCTGCTGCCCCAGTTCATTAAGGTGCTAGGGTGGAAAACATAAGGGGAATAAGGAATAGATATATATATTTTATGTATTTATACATACATAAAAATATAAGGGATATATTTTAAATATAAGGGAAATATTTTCCTTGTCTCTTTAACTGTAAATAACTTACATCAAGGGAAGAGATGAGCTGGTCTTTAGAGAAGAAAAATTACCTTACCCATAGTTACAAGGGTCACTCCCACATAGTGACAACTATCCAACTGGCTGACAGCAGGCTATACATTTTTGCAATAGTCTCACTTTCTCCGTACCAGCTCTAAAAGGAATGCAGAGCTGCAGCCGCCTGCAAGAAGGGGCAAGGGCTGCACGGCAGTAAGTGGCAGAGACTTTGCTTCCCGCACAGAGCACAAAGCACATCACTGTTCTACGGATGTTGCCCACAACCGGTCCATGGAATGAATTGTAGAAATTCAGCTCAGAAAAAGACAGTTTCAACTTGTATTCAACTAAAGCATTTGTCTTCCTACTGCCAAATGCTCCCACACGTTTTTAATAAATTCTGGTATCTCTTTGAACAAGCCCATGGAGACTTCCAATTCTGGGTTTATCACATGGTCAAGCACTGTGTGCAGGGGGAAGCACACCTGCGACGGGCCACTGCTCTTTCCCACAGAAAAGTAGGGGACCGAGTGGGAAACGATCTCTGCTCTGAGCAGAGCTGGTGCAGTTTATTCCCCTCTTGCAACAAAAAGGAAGTTGGACTGACTCTACCTTAAGACATGACCTGCAGTAAAGTTCACTAGTGAGAACTGCAGGGGTATTTCCCTGCAGTTTGATGAGCTGGCACAACCTTCAGCACCAAAAGGAAATGTACACAAGAATTTACAAACAGTTCTTCAATGTTTCAGTCTTAAATGAACTTCCCCCCACCCCAGCTTAGTCATCGTGCTGATGTGTTCAGTTCCAAGATCCTGGAAACATCCCATGTGTCAGTCAACTGTCATTATCAAGCATTTTTTCAATACCTCTCAAAGCATCACACAGTCCTTCTCTAAGGTTGGAGGACTTTAGGCACCAAAAGGAATTGTATTGAAGTAAACAGGGGCAGAAGATATCCAACACCCTACAGAGAGATGCTCATACGATGCAGGCTGTAAGCTGCACGTCACCAGAACAAGTTACTTGTCCTACCAAGTTTATAAATGAAACTCAGCTTACAGCTTTTAGGAATTACTGCACTCCCAATATAACCTCTTACAAGAGTGCTGTTCATCTACAGCTAAAAACTGCTCCCCTTTGATTTTCCTCAGTCACCTCACATCAGTATTCCCAAAGGGTCACCTTGCAGCAGATCTGGTGACATACAGGGGGGAAACAGATGGGGCAAAGGTTCCTCTCCTTGTGCTGCAAGAAGCACAGCTTTGGAATGGCTCGCTCCTCCCCACCATGGCTACGAGCAGAGCCCAGACTCTTCTCTTCAACCTGGTCACCGCAGCTCCGGCGACAGGATCAGGAAGGTGGCCTGCCCTAGGCAAATGGATGACACAGATTAATCCTGGGGCTAGAGAGAGGACCAGAGGCCACACTGGTATTTTGCCCTTGAACTACACAGCCATGTATTCCTTGTCAGTAGGGTGTATAATTAAGACTGCTCCTTAGCCCAAGCTGATGTATGGCTAAACATGAATAAGAAGGACATGAAGCTCTCAAACACTGCAACACCACGCTGGAAAAAGGCAGACTTCATGCATACCTGCCAACAGTATGACCAAAGCCATCAACATGGTGCCCAGTTTCAGTCCAAAAGCAACAGTAAAGATCTCAAGTGAAAATGGACAATCCTGGAAGCGCTGCTAACCACAAGGCCTGGAATTTAGCATTTGTCTAATGCCAAATTAGACAAATTAGACAAATTTGTCTAATTTTCTAAATTAGACAAATTTGTCACAGCACGGTTGCACCTTCAACCTCCCTGCCCGCACTCTGGTCATCACTATAATCTATCACATGGTTCAAACCTAACCATCTGAGTGTTGCCAAAGACACGTCCTATCATCCTTTCTTTCCTTTACTCTCACAGGAAGTGGCAGCAGAGCTCTGAGTACCAGGATGGCCCATTTTCTAAATGGCGCTTAAAAGTTTAGAAACGGGACCATTCTCACTGCTCTGTTGACAGTACCGAGGCAGTGCAGGAACAATGCCTACCATCAGGACAATCAATACCATTGCTCACAGAATTT